GTTGTGAAGTCACATCATCTGTCTATCACGTACCAGTCGTGGAGTCACATCATCTGTCTACCACATACCTGTTGTGAAGTCACATCATCTGTCGACCACATACCTGTTGTGGAGTCACATCATCTGTCGACCACATACCTGTTGTGAAGTCACATCATCTGTCGACCACATACCTGTTGTGAAGTCACATCATCTGTCGACCACGTACCTGTTGTGGAATTCATTATCTCTCTCACATTCTAAAGTGTGCTCTTAGAATTCGTAGACCATAAGGTGGTTCACGGAAATGCATAAGAGGAGTGGGACAACAATAGCATGTTTGCTCTTCAAAGAAACCTGATCTCATTCATACGTCACTGTTGGGTCATTGTTAAGAAACAAGGGAAGTCTGATCGTACAGTCCTCAGTACTAGTCCGTCGAACTTAATCATCGTTTATAAAAAAGTGTAAATGATGTGCTGTATATAATTAAAGCAATGTATCTATATGAAATAAAAACAATTTATCTCTATATTTGATAACATTCATCTTTCGTGTTGTTAACGAGTGAAAAACCTATAATTATTGAAACAGCCCTTTTATTTGAAATAGAAGCGACACCTACCAGACGGAAGAGCAATTCCATTACGAAACCATTCCACCTTTAGAGACGAGTCATTCACCGGTTCCAAACGACATTCGAAATGTGCCTGTTGACCCTCATGAAGAGAAAGATTGTGCATGTGATCAGTAAATTTTGGTCTCACCTTCGCAACTTCTTCAACCCAGGTATCTCGCTTGTAGCGGCTGGTGTCCTCGAGGTACTGAATTTTTTCTAAGCTTTCTGGTTGCTGAGATTCCAGTATAACCTGGCTTTTCGCTATAAAAAAATATCCGGATATTTATAATTTTAAATCAATTACCAATATAAATACACATTAATATGACTAACTGAACCTTAATACGTTACAAGTTATACTTCTGGTATTTGCAAACAACGTATAAAAATACGACAACTTACCAATACAGTTCACAGAGCATGATGTAACGGCCTGGCCCAAACTGCTCGTGGCCTTACAAGTGTACACTCCACTGTCTTCTGGGTAAATACTCAAAATGTCCAGTGCGACGTAATCAAACTCGTGTGCTGGTCGAAAACGATGTCCTAAGAAGCAAATGAACTGCATAAACATGTTACATCACTTAGTGTTTTTACATGCACAGGTGTAATACATCGAGAAAAAGAGTATTTTATAAAAACAATGTCATTCCGTTTCGTTTTTACATGATATTGATCAGAAAAACAATGCCATTCCGTTTCGTTTTTACATTACGTAAAATGATATTGATCAGAAAAACAATGTCATTCCGTTTCGTTTTTACATTGCGTAAAGTGATATTGATCAGAAAAACAATGTCATTCCGTTTCGTTTTTACATTGCGTAAAATGATATTGATCAGAAATGAGTCCGTGGGTTGTAATCTTCAAATTGAATAATCTTGGAAGATAATTTCTGGTGTTAATTGACGACAATGAAACAATTGTACAGCCATCATGCTAGCTTATTTAAGTTTCGATCTAAAACGAACACAATATAACTAGTCGTTTAACTTAGTTCAAGAATTTGATACGTCTTAATCTTTCATTTTTTTACTTGTCTAGTGGCAATTTTATAGACTTATAACGCTAAAATCTAGGGATTGATTCCCCGCGCTAGACACAGCATGGTTTGCACTAATATAAATGACCAAGCTGTTAGTAGAAATATAATGCGGTTTAAATTTATCTTTTATCATTTATTTAAAGCTCCCATTCTCTCTGTGTTGTACTTAATAAACTAGTTTTCTGTTAGGTTAATTATAGAAAAACCCACGTGGATTTTAATTTCCAAGTACAATGTTCATTGAAAAAAAACTTTCAACTCCTCAATGGTAACATAATAAAACGAAACTTAAATAAGCTAGCATGACGGCTGTACAATTGTTTCATTATCGTCAATTAACACCAGAAATTATCTTCCATGGTAACATAATAAAATACACGCAATTCTTTAATTCCTACATTCGTATTCCATCTCACCTATCCTAATAGGAACATTGTTGAGGAACCAATCTACTTTCATGGAGGGGTCTCCAACAGGGGCCAGTCGGCACTCTAAATGAATGTTGGTCCCTTCAATTACTTGAATGTTATGTAATGACTTGGTGAAAGTTGGTTTTTGGGTGATGACAGTTTCTTCTTCCACTATTCGGCGATAGCGACTTGTATCTTCTAATTGCTGAATTTTCTCCAAACCTTCTGGGCACTGAGATTCCAAGATTACTCCAGATTTTCCTAAGAAAAAAATTCTTATTTAACCACATATAAACATTACGAGACACTTAGAAACTTGTATCTCCTAACTTCTGAACCTTCTTCAAGACTTCTGGGCTCCGAAATTCCAAACTTGTTGCAGGTTTGTGTGGACTAATATTTTTTTTTTATTAATTACATAACGATACACTTGGAAGTAAGTCGAAAGAAATTACTTGATAAATATTTTGCTTTCTAACCAATTCAACTATACTTCATTCACACACATTAATTATATAGGTTAGCATGTATATTTTGTATTTAGAAAAAAAAAAACGTTTTACTTATTTAAATGATAGTTTTATATCACACATATCAAGTAAAACATTCTTTATTTTAAAGCGTTGGAATCAATTTTTTTACAAATGTTTTTAACACATTGAGAAAAGCAGTGTTGACACGTTGGAATATTGGGCAAGTATTAGATTTATCACTACAATAAAATCTTTAATAAAGAAAAAACTTTATTCAAAACAGAGGTAAATAATTTTTGCTCACTCTGAACTGTGCTATATTTTCACGATGGATGCAAAAGTAAGTGGATAACAGTCCTAAACATTGTTGTTTTTTTATATATTGATG